AACAGATACAGATTTAAAAGGAAGAGCAGCAAAGAGAAGGGAAACAACCATGGATTAAAGTAAGGCACACATTACAGTATTGTTTTATGTTAAAAAATCTGAGGGTTTAATGTCACTTTAAGCAATTCCAACATAACTGTTAACATAAATACACATCAGAATGAGGTGTCCGGCGTCTATGTTCCATTACCCAACATATAATATATATTGGTTTATACATCTTTACATACCATTTCTTGGATGAAATTACGGTGTCACTATAATGCAAAACATTGTTTGAAATGTTTGCTGAAAAAAAATGTGTGGGAAAAGGTTTTCACATATACATATAATTGTTTTATAAAATATATATAATATCTAGTTTAAATAATTAATAGGAACTATACGTGTCAACGATGATAATTTATTTACCATGTATAGATTATTATAGGGGCTTCCCCTTTCATCAAGTAATTAAGAGACCTTTTGCTCCAGAATCAATGCATATTTTATAGCTATGCAGTTATTATGCATTTATCTTGCTAATCTTTTTACAACTTGGCTTTTTCTTTTTTTCTGCAAGGTTTGCAGAGTTTTTTTATGAAAATTCCTTTTATGTGAAATAAAATTTTACTTAAAGCAGCCAGCCAAAAGCAACAAGATAAAAATAAATGGCCCTTTAAAAAATTATATAACAAAACAGCTTTTGCTGCAATATTCAGCTTCACTCCAGAAATCTCCACCATAGTACTTTTTCTGCCACTAGATGTCCTCAATCTGATAGCCAGCACCATTCAACTCACTTCTTCCGAGCCCAGGTCATCCGGGACCTACCCCAAGGCTGTGCCTGGGCAATTAAAGGAAAAGCAGAATGGTGATGAGTTTGTTTCTCTGTCACTCTGCTTTCTCTTCTTCTTCTAACCGTTCAGCCTTGCTGTGTAGGGTCTGCAAAAGGCTGATAGGCTGCTACCAAGTCAAATGAAGGTACACATGTATGCAAAAACTACATTTAATAATGTATATACGATTGCAGAGTTGCAATAGTTTGTGTTTTTTATATCTGCATAGAGTTCAGCTTTAAATATCTTTTAATTTTACACTTCGTTAGTATAAGTAAATAAATAATCAAAATAATGTTAGTCTTTTTATTATAACCTTTTTTTTTTTGCTAATTGAAGCAGATGCGATTAAATTTTCTCCCTGAATTATTTGTATTAAGA